AGTCAGAGTAATCAGTGAGAAATGAAGCTGCTATAAAATTTTGTGGACAGTATATGCAGAATGCTTTTTGAAAATTGTACATAGTCAATGTGAAAGTAGGTCACACCTCATTTTTTATAAAGTCTTTTCTGCACCCATCTTTCAATATACTGGTGATCAAAGTAGGCATTTAAAGATAATGTGGTATGGAAGTAATTTTTAAATAATTAAACATTTTCTATTCCCATTTTCTGTAAATGATGGGAATTTTTTTAAAGGCCTCTTACAACAACTAAATACACTTTTGATCATTTCTTCTAATGGAAGGAGCTATATGACTAAGCGAGACATGAATGATACTGTGGCTTTTGTTTATTCTCACCAAATTTTATACCCATTTGTAGTTAGCAAATAAACTGTTTAGAGTTTGTTTTCCTTTGCCGACTACCTTACTGTTTGCTTATTTTAGTAAGCAAAAACAAGCTTATCCAACAATTTTTGGAAATAGAAAAGGGATAAAGAATGTATGGCTTCTGCAGTCCAGAAAAAGAGAAAACTCACTGTAGCCTGGGAAATTGAAAGAGTTTTTGTGAAATGTACAATTGAAACCCTACTTTAAAAGGAGGATAGGAATGTGGACTATCTCAAATCTTAACACTGAAGTTAAAGATAAAATATAAGTTATCAAATATTTATTGTACACTTACTACGAATAAGATAATAACCCATTCAGAGAGTCTTAAAAATTAACTAAACATTGAATATACTTCTGAGTGCCCTGATATTTGAGAGTAAAAATATTTTTAAAATAGATTTTATGGTTCTTTTGACTTAATAAAAAGGATGTGCAAGTTCATGTGGGAGAAGAAGCTTTCCAGTATTCAGAAAATATTGTCTTAGATTTGTATTGTTTTCTCATTTCAACCTTGGGGAAATAGCAGAAAAACACCATTGCATCTTATATGATTTAGCTCCACTATTAATTATCCTGTACCCTGATGTAATACATCATTTGTAAGTCCTTAATAATAATGATCGGGCCGGCCAAGTGGCGCGTTGGTTAAGAGCTGGCTTGGGACGCCAGAGGGCCCCGGTTTGGATCCCACATATGAGGGCCTGTGAAACCTCCTTCTACAGCTAAGATGCTGAACAATAGCTCAACCTGGAGCTGGGCTGCCCGTGAGTTGCCAGCGACAGCGTAGGCTGCAGCCCCTGCTGCAGTGGGTTGCCATGGGCTACCGTGTGTAGCCAGCAGCCAGCGTGAGCAGCCAGCAGCCGCAGTGAGCTGCCGTCTGGAAGCCAGTGACTGATCTGCCTTGCCTGGGAAGAGCGCAATGATGGTGCCCTCTTGGGCCAGTGAAGCAACGTCTTCCACAACTAGACGGAAGAACAAAAGGACAGCAACTTGTCTGTTCTCCTTCCCCCAATTCCCCAGCGCTATTCCTATCCCCCAATTCCCCAATAAAAAAAATGTAAAAAAAAAAAAATAATAATGATCATCACAATCATAATACTATACTACTGACCTTTCATAGGATATTCATGTCTATTATATGTATCAAGCCTCTTGATTAATCTTTCTATCAAAATCATTGAAGTGAATACATACACATTGTATTGGGTTGTCGGAAAAGTCATGACATATGTTTGCAACAGATGGCACTAGTTCATTTTTGGAAGTACTAGAGTCATTCGCATCTATATTATTGCTGTCTTTTGACAGCTGAAGTTCTAGCTTCATTCTAAAAAAAATTGAGCGATTTGGTTGAGTTTTGGAGATTTTACAACAAGTTGAAGATGGAAGACCAAACTGTATTTTTGCCATATTTTACTGTTTTACTACCATAAAGGGAAAAACGCACATCAAGCTTGTGAAAAGTTGCATAATGTTTACGGTGACAATGCTGTACAAGAACATCAGTGCCAACGATGGTTCACAAAATTCCGTGCTGGTGATTTTGATCTTAACGATGCTCCTCGGTCAGGGAGCCCCACCGAGGTTGATGACGACAAAATAAAGACATTGATCGAATCAAACCCACGTTACACGACACGAGAGATTGCAGAAACATTGAACATCCATCATTCAAGTGTTCATGACCACCTGAAGAAGCTGGGATACGTAAGTAAACAAGCTCGATATTTGGGTTCCACATGAACTCAAAGAAGTTCATCAACATCTGCAATATGCTCATTAAACATGAGGAAAACGATCCTTTTTTGAAGCGACTGATAACTGGTGACGAGAAGTGGATTGTTTACAACAATGTGGTGCACAAACGGTCTTGGTTCCAATGTGATGATTTGCCTAAAATGACATTGAAAGCAGACATTCATCAGAGGAAGGTTATGCTCTCAGTGTGGTGGGATTTTAAAGGTGTCGTGTTTTTCAAGCTCCTATCAAAGAACCAAACAATCAATTCAAGTATGTACTGTTGGCATTTGGACAGTTTGAACGATTCCATCATCTGGAAAAATCCAGAGCTTGTTAATTGTAAAGGAGTTATGTTCCATCGCAACAACGCAAGACCACACAGAAATTTGATCACCGGTCAAAAATTATTGGAGCTTGGATGGGATGTGTTGCCACACCCACCATACTCACCTGACCTTGCACCGTCAGACTTCCACTTGTTTCGCTGTCTTCAAAACTCCTTGCATGGTATAACATTCAATTCAGATGAGGCTGTAAATCAGCACCTTGTTCAGTTTTTCGCAAATAAAGACAGGTCCTTCTATGAACGAGCAGTTATGAAGCTCACTGAAAGATGGCAAAAGGTTATCGAACAAAACGGGCAATATATCATTGATTGATCTTTGTTCTTTATATAAATAAATGACCTTTGAAAAACATAGACAAAATACGACATGACTTTCTGACAACCCAATAACATAAAAATGGTGTGTGTGTGTGTGTGTGTGTGTGTGTGTGTATAATATAAAAATACTTCCAGATTATTTAAGATAAGTATCTTCATGATGACAAGGAGGTAGTTAATGGCTTTTATCCCCTACTATGTGTCAGGCTCTCTGGTATGCAATTTCTGTATATTATCTAATTTAATAATCACTAACTTATAAAATAGGTAACTGTATTCTCATTTCAATGCAATAGAGCAGTAGGAAATGGATTTTTGAGAGTAGTAAGGAAGATTTTGGTTTAGATGGAGAGACAGTGATACTGTAAGACACTATTTGATTGTGTGACCACTCTCCAGAATGGTCAGGAAAGCTAATTTTGTGGAGGTGGTAGAATTTGTGCTGTTTACTGAGAAAGGAACAAAACAGAAAAATGGGGTTTGTGTAAATGCTGATGAGTTCAATTTAGACATGTTGAGTTTAAGGAAGGGAAGCAGAGATTTTATAGAAGGTGGTACAGCCAACAGTGGTAAGATTTTTGTTTGTTTTGAGTTGTATAGATTTTTGTTAAGCACTTTTTTGAACATTATTAATAACATTTAAACGTTGATTGTGTTTGTGGAGGAATATAATGAGATGTTGTTAATGCCTTTGTTACTGGAGAACAGACCCTTCTCAGCGCAGTATCCAGGTTCTTGGTATCCTGAACAAAGAATTGAGTGGGACACCAAAGGGCTGTGATGAAAGAGCAGTTTATTGAAAGTGAAAGTACACTCCAAAGAGATAGGAACGGGCGGTAGCAAAAAAATAGCTCAAAAGGCGCCAGCTGGCGAGGAGTTGGAGTTTGTTTTTTTCTCTAAAATGGGCTACTCAGTACTCTCTAGGTGTGGGGCCACTTGAATGACACCTGTGGTTGACAAGAGGCTATTACCTCATCTTTTAGATTACACATGTTCCTTCCCAGAATTCAGTCTGTTATAATGATATTAATGAACTTCCAGGCATATGCATGATATTATAATGAAGGTATAATGAGGCTAAGGTGAGATGAAAGTCACTGTAGTCTTTACTGCACAGGTGTGAGTGACCAGTCTAATCTAGTTAGGTAGTTTGTGTCGTCTAGTGTCTTCAAAGTGGTTGATGGTTATGGTAGATAAGGGAAAAATTTGGGTGTAGAGGGGAGGTTTTGGGGAGGTCTGTGGGCTCTCCGTAGGCCATGTCAAACATGCAGGAATGTCTGGAGACCCCATTCCTATCTCTAACTGCCTGCCTTATTTCCCCGTAGAGGTGTGATCCCCATAAATCTCTATGGGAAAGTGCGGGATAGGAGGTCGCTTCTTCCATATCTGCTTCCTGCTGAATGTGGTTGCTGTCCCTGCCTATTGGGGATTCATGGATCTCTCGCCCTATCTGATCTTAATGAGGGGAAGGGGTCTCGGGATCCACCTGGAAGACCACATTGGCTTCCTTTGGGTGTACTGGAAGCCTTGCTGGGGCATCATTTGTATCCCGATGGCCCCTAGATGAGGAGAGATAGATTTTTATTAATACATTAAAAACACTGGCCCAAGGAGCAGGACTCAGAGCTACTGACACAGGGTGAAAGTCCATTTAGCTCATATTAGTTATTCAGGTGGCATTATTTACCCAGGAGTTGGGTCTGGAATGGCCTGGAAAGAATGCTGGGCCACAGTGATTACAATCAACAAGCTTAAATCACAGGCTTCTGGGTAGTTAATTGAAGCAGGGGTGAGAGACATTCTATGATTCAGGCTAGGAGCAATCTTTAGTTTAAGATTAAGAAACTGATTTAAAAAGTGATTAAAACCAGGGACTAAGAAACTAGGGAAAAGGAGACTTAAAATTCCTATAGTGAGGGGGCCCTCCCATATCACCTTTAATAGTTAGATAAATTTTGGGGTCATTTCATGGTTTGTGAACATTATAGCTACCCTGCCCTATGTAGGTAAAGGAAATTTTTAGGCAAACTGAGAAATTGTATGGAATGTCTCTTAAAATTTTTAATTATTTAATATACGAACAAAACTTTTTTAATGTAAGAAAAATTAGAATATAGAAATTAACACAAAGGGAAAAGAACCAATAGTCCTACCACTGGGTTGAATGTGCTGATTTTCTTTTCTATGTGTTATTTCTTTCAGAAATATGGCTACACACACCTTTCTGCAGGAGAACTTCTTCGTGATGAAAGGAAGAACCCAGATTCAGAATATGGTGAACTCATTGAAAAGTACATTAAAGATGGAAAGATTGTTCCAGTTGAGATAACCATCAGTTTGTTAAAGAGGGTAAGGAGTGTGAATGCCAGCCAATTAAAACCAGCAAGGAAATGAGAAATTACACCTAGCTTTTCTTTGAAAAAATCAAAGTATTGAATTTCTTGCATGTAGAAGGTGGTCGTAGAATTTGAGAATGGAAATTCCACTTTTACCTGGGAAGAAATTAGATAGTAGCAGGCATTCTCTATCTTGGTCTAGGATCAGCTACTACTCAGCTTAACATCCATATGAGTGCACTTGACCCTTCCCAATGTGCAGACAATCTCTTTTGAATTTCTATTTCTTCTCCCCCCCCCCATCTTCCTTTCCCTTTTCTGTTTTCTTATAAATTTCCTCTCTCTTCTCCCTCCTCCCTCTCCCCTCTCCCTTTCTCCCTCCCTCCCTTTCTTTCTTTCTCCCATGACCCTCCCATTGTTGCTGTTCTCTCTGTCTTGATATCTCCTTTTCTGGTGCATGCATCACCATCTTCAATGTGAAATGCAGAGACTGACAGCTGTCAAACTAAAACATGTCCCATCTAAAAAACAGATACCTCGAATTTTCATAACTCTCCATTATAGTCTACTCATTAATGGGTATTTTTACATATAAGAAACAGTGAAGGAGAAACGCAAGAGTGGGAACAGCAAGAAATAGTTGAAGCCCAATGAGAGCCTCTGGATGGAACCAGAGAAACTTGAGAATAAAGAGTAGCTCATTCACACATGTTCTTTCCTCTTTTCTCAGAGATTGGAGTAACCTGCTTCCATTCTAGAGTAAATAAATCCTCTCTCCTTATTCTCTGGTTTTCATGCCCTTTCTCCACTTTATACGGAAGCATTGTGAAAGACTGGTTTATATTTTTTATTTTTCACTTTCTGCTCTTTAGCCCTTTACAGTCAGGTTCTATGTCCATCTTCATTGAAACTATTCTTGCTCATGTTACCAATAATCTTCTCTATCAAATCTAGGGGATATTTTTAGTCATTTATCTTGTAGCATTTAACTCTACTTACTGTCTTTTTTTTTTCTTTAAACTATTGGTGATTTTTTGTTTGTTCTGGCTGTCGGGGGGTGGGGATTTACTGTGGAATCAATCAATTTTGGATATACTAAGTTTGAAATGCCTATTCGATATCCAAGTGGAAATGACAGGTGTGTGGTTAGATATATTGTAGTTAAAGAGGGAGCCCAGGTAGGACACACAAATTTGGCAGCTGTCAGTGTATAGATGATTTTTTTTTAACTTTATTGGGGAACAGTGTGTTTTTTCCAGGACCCATCAGCTCCAAGTCAAGTTGTTGGTGTCCTTCAGTCTTAGTTGTGGAGGGCGCAGCTCAGCTCCACGTCCAGTTGCTGTTTTCAGTCTAGTTGCGGGGGGCGCAGCCCACCATCCCATGTGGGAATCAAACCAGCATCCTTGCTGTTAAGAGCACGTGCTCTAAACAACTGAGCCATCCAGCCGCCCCTACTTATTTACTGTCTTTTTGAAACTCATTCTTCTTTGTTCTCTGTGACACCATTTTTCTTGATTCTCTAACTATTAATACTTCAATGACTGCTGTTTTTTAAGTCTCTTTTGATAGTTCTTCTGCAGGTTTCCTAAACCATATGCTTCACAGGGTTTCATTCTTGGTCCTCCTCTCATTTTATATATTTCTTGTTGGATGGTTTTAGCCACGCCCAAGGCTTTCACTATGCTAATGATGCCAAAATTTATAGCTCTAGGACAAATCTTTTTTCTGAACTCCAGACTTATATTTCTAACTAACTATTAGGCATCCATCTGAATGTCTTACAAACAAATATCTCAAAATCAACACATCAGACACTGACTGTATCATCTAAAATGTGATCGACTTTATTTCTTGTCCTGGTTAATGGTTCTGCCATGTTCTGCCATCTACCCAGCTGCCCAACCCAGAAGTCTGGCTGCTGCCCATTTCTCCGTTACTTTCCCAAATCCATTCAGTGAGCAGATCCTTCCAATTATCTTCCTTTTAATCCTCTTCTATTACTCTTTTTTCTCTATTATCACCGTCCCCTTAGTTCAGATCCTCTTCTTGACCATCGCTAGAGCCTCCTCATTAGTTTTTGGGTTTTTTTTTTTGCCGCTTTAAACATTCTTGTTTCCTTCTAATTCATCCTTCATAGTGCAGTCAGGATGATTTTTTTTTTTAAAGGTGATATGAGCATATTCTTCTACTACTTAAAATTCCTCCGTGGTTCTGTATTGCTTCCAGAGTAAAAACCAACTCCTTAGTGTGGCATTGAAGTTCTTCATTAATCTTGCCCCTACATGCTTTCTAGTCATATCTCCCACCACTTTCGACACACATCCTATGATTCCGTTATACTATCTTACTTCAGATTCATAAAAGCTGTTATGCTTCCTCCTTTCTGAGCCTTTATACATCCAGTTTACAATATCTAGAGTACGAGGATCCCTGTCTGCCTGCCATTTCACTATTCAGGATTCACCTCTGCTGCCACCTCTTGGGTAAAGCTTTCTCTGAGTTTCCAGGTTGTTTGTGCTTGCTTCTTTTTTAAAAAAAAATTTTTTTTTTATCATAGCACCCATTCATACCTCATCACAGAAATTAGCACATTTACTTACCATATTTGTTACCACTGGATCGTGAGCTTCCCCAGGGGCCATGGCTTTGCTCTTCATGTTCCCTGATAGTAGGCCTCAAATAAATATATGTTTAGTGAGTAGGATATTGATGTACCTCTTCAGATATCTTCTATCATAATTGGGGTAGAAATGGTTATAGCAGGGGCCCAAAAGCATTCTGTGGAAGTTTTGTGAATATTGGAGAAGCTAGATGCTGGGATAAAGCCAACTCTCAGATAAATGAATAGGGTCCTGACAGCCATTGTTCTTGAGGGAACTAGGAAACAGTTTGAGCACTGAGAAGACTAGATAATCAGTTTCTTTTGGAATAGAGGCTACTCTGGAGTTTGTCAAAGTCATACCTCTGTGCTTAGTCCATGGTGGTTGGTAGTGGTAAGGATTTGGAGATTAGAGAGCTAGCTGCATCTCCCATTCACATATTCCCATACTCTACCTAAATTTAGACTTTGGAAGAGGATGGTGAAATGGCCTCTTTCTGAATGTGTTGTTTTCTTTGCTACATGTGTTTTGGGGTAGCCAATGGCATGTAGGTTTAATTAGCTTCAGTTAAAAAAAAAAATGACGCACTAATAATTAATTCTAGCAATCTCTTTATATTTGTCCAACGCTTTTTGAAATTAGATTTGAATTATTGCAGAGACTCTGAGCGCCTGTAGAAGTAGCATACTTCCCACCACAGCAAAATGACTTGGGAAGAGGAAAGGGAAGGCAAGATAGGGCACCTAGTGACTAGAGCAAAGGTATTGGTTAATGCTTATTTTTTTGCTTCTGCTGTTTATAACTTTGTGAATGTATATGTGAAAGTAATACATGCTTACTATAGAAAACTTAGAAACTACAGGAAAGAATTGTGAGTGTATGTATATAAAATAGGGGAGGGGTACATACCCATAAGTCTACCAACTTGAGGCAAAACCATGTTAACACATTGTATTATTTCCTTAAAGTCTTTTTTTTCCCCTATGATTCTTTCACTCTTATGATTTAAAGAATAATAATAAACACCAATATATCCACCACCCTGCTTAAGAAATTACATTTTGTTAATATAGTGTTGACCCTAAATCTTCCTTTTCCTTTAGGAAATGGATCAGACAATGGCTGCCAATGCTCAGAAGAATAAATTCTTGATTGATGGATTTCCAAGAAATCAAGACAACCTTCAAGGTTGGAACAAGACCATGGATGGGAAGGCAGATGTATCTTTCGTTCTGTTTTTTGATTGTAATAATGAGGTAATGAAAATCTTCATCTGCCCTTTACTTAATATTTACATTTTATGTTGGCAACAGTACTTTTTGAATTGGAACAGTGGATGGACAGAACAGCACCATCTTGCTGTTCGGAGTGTTAAACGCTATTTGGCATCCGCAACCCCGTCGACCTAAAATTTGCTTTATTTTCCAAGTAACAAGAATTTATTTCATTTTGCTTTGGTATTAAGAATTGATTGGCAATAATGCTAGGCAATGAAGCTGCACTATCACTTCTTAGGTATGTACTATTATCAGAGAGTATTTTGCCTTAGGATGGTTTTTACTAGAAGAGAAACACATTTCTGGAAAGTTGGGAAAACTTTCTGTTTTAAGGAAACATAATAGAAGGTAGCCTGATTTGTCTTCTCAGAGTAAGATGATCTTGAAAACAGCAGGAAAGCGTTCTTTTTCTTTCTGGCTCTTCTAATAACATACTCAGATATACCTTTGAAGAACTAAATGAATTTCTTAGAATCATTTAGTTAAAAGGCCTGACTGTTTGACACCTGTACACTTCATTAAATGAATGCCAACAGTCTGAAAGAAGAATCTGAAGTATTGCCTTGAAGGAAAGAGGCTATTCTTAGGTTGAATTGCAAATATGCCTTAGGGGAGGGACTTGCTGCATCTTTTGAGTTGTTTAAAAATGTAACTCTCCTCTTCCAACCCCCAAAAATATGTTTCCACTTATTCTTCAAAGTTAACTTTAGAATGTTACCACAGTTTTATAACTAAGGAATGTTTATTCACGATTAACAAGGGGTACTTTATTCAAATGCAAATATGTTGATTCTTAAATATTTGGGTATTATGGAATTATCGAAAAGTAAGCAAAAATAGAACAAAGTTTGAGGTATGTAATTCATACTTAATAAGTTAATAATATCTCCTAGATGGAGCCGTACACATACAGATCTTCTTTTTATTGCGGTTTGAAAAAAATACACAGGAAAAATTGAGTCATGAATGAATTATTATGTTCTGTACTTATTTAACCTAGTTTATATAAATTGAACCACATGTTTAAATTTAAAAGGAGTTTGCATGTTGATTAATGAATTAGACACATTGGGTTTAATGCTGTTTTTTTTTTTTTTTAAAAACTTCAAACTTTATTCTCTTTTCAGGTTAAAAGAATGGCAAATTTATATCTTTCCTTTTTAAAATAACTTTTTATTTCTCTTTTTAGATCTGTATTGAACGATGTCTTGAGAGGGGAAAGAGCAGTGGTAGGAGTGATGACAACAGAGAGAGCTTGGAAAAGAGGTATTTTGCAGTTTTTATACACAGCCATCTCAATCTTCTCAGTTTGGAACTTGAGTAGTAGATTAAATACTTGCCTCATTTTGGTCCAGAAAAACAAAATGTTATGCTCCAATCTGTAAAATGGCTTGTCTGAGAAAATGATAAAGGAGTCAGTTGGGTCAGATCCAGTTGTCCTCTGAGCTGTCCTGTAACATGGGGCAATGGATGGATACTTCGAAACTTGTAATATTTGCTTCTTTTGCAGAATTCAAACCTATCTTCAGTCAACAAGGCCAATTATTGACTTATATGAAGAAATGGGGAAAGTCAAGAAAATAGATGCTTCTAAATCGGTTGATGAAGTGAGTATTCCCAGACTGCCTTACAAAAAAAGTCAAGTAAAAATGTGATTTGGGTCAAGGGTTAGACAAGAGAAAAAGAAATATTGTGACAATTTAGTTTGCTTTCCAAGACACTGGAGACTAAATGAAAAATTAGGCTTTTTCTCCTTTTTTGAATAGAGTCTAAAATGGGCTTTACAACTTCAGACTTATTCTTCATAAGAAGTGGGTAGTTTATTAATTCCAAACCTCTTTTCTCAAACGCTGGAAAATTGGCACTTTGACAACTGTAATTTGGACCATAATCGTTTTTTTAAAATTTACAACCTGAATTGCAAGTCATCTAGTCAGGAGCCCAGGCTGCCTCCATCTCCCATCACAGAACAAATAGCTCCAGAGGTGCAGCGTTTCCTTGACGCAACACTGCTCTCTTTTTTCATGAATCAGTCAGTGGTCTCAAAACTGGTTTACAAGCCCTCAGTGTCTAGCAACTATTTCTAGTTCCTTTGAATTCACCTAAGCTTCCCTGATTCCCTGAATCTTCTTCCTCTGGACCTTTTTTTTAATTGTATAGTCATTTTTGTTTTTTATCATTGTCACTTCCTATAGCAGTGAGGTAATGTATCAGAAAACTTAAGTGTATAGAATCAGATCTAGGAAGATAAGCCACTTCAGTTTACATTTTATCAAATTATTGGTAGCCTATCAAGGAGTTTTATTTTGTCCTAAAAACAATAAAATTGAATGCAACATGTTCATAATTTATATGTATTATTTATATTTTATTATTGTCTATAGTAAAATAGGTGAAACTAAGAAATCATAATGTGTTTTTAATGATCCATTTTGAAAATTAATATAAAATTGACATATTTTTAAGCCATATGGTATTTTAACAATCTCTGCTTTTTAAATTATTATCTTTTTCCTTTACAGGTTTTTGATGAAGTTGTGAAGATTTTTGACAAAGAAGGCTAACTATAAACTTGAAAGCATCCTTGAAATCATGCTTGAATATTGCTTTGATATAGCTGCTATCACAATCCCCTTTTAAGGCAATTTTAATCTTTCATAATTACATCACAATTAATGGTTAGAAAGTAAGACAAATTAAATTTTTATCTTTTTTTTGGTTATAGGAGTAGTCAATGAATTTGGGTCTTAACTTCATCTTAGCTGTGGTGCTCACAAAACAAAGAAGGGAATTAGCTAGTTATTTGTTTTTATTAAAAAAGAATATCCCTTTTATTGTTTGTGCCTTCTGTGAGCAAAACTTTTTAGTATATGTGTATATCCCTTTAATTATTACAACATGTCAGGATTAGGGATTCCTTACTTCCTCTTTTTCTTGCAGGTTTTAAATTTCCAACCTGTTAAGTGAATTTGTGGACCAAATTCCAAAGGAACTTTTTGTGTAGTCAGTTCTTGCACAATGTGTTTGGTAAACAAACTCATACAATGAAGTCCTAGAAGTGTTTTCATACTTATCAAATAACTGACCATTTCCTATAGAAAGGTAAGAAAACTTAGGCTCCCTTTTACTACAACTTGTACAAAGTTGTGTGGCAGGGCATAGTCTTTGCTTCCAGGGATTGGGATGGGGATAATGGGGGTTCAGAGCCTGGCAGAATTGTCAGCTTTATTCTGACATAAATCTGAGGTTAAGGGGCAAAGATCACATCTAATGACATGTGTTTCTTATGCTCTATTATATAGTGTTATTAATAATTAAACTGATCTTAACAAAATTCCTAGTAGTGGAACCTTGAAATGCATGTACTAGGTTTCTGGTAAAATGGGGTTGATTTTGTTTGTTTTCTAGGCTAAATATAAGGTTAGTGTAAAGTAGAAGAAATGTAATGGTTAAATTTCCCATTTGTATTTTATTTTCTTGAATACTGTTTTTTCATAGTTATTTGTTTAAGATTTAAAAATCATTGCACTTTGGTCAAAAAAATAATAAATATATCTTATAAATGTTTGATTCCCTTCCTGGCTACTTTTATTCAGTAAATCCTTTTTTTTTTTTTTTTATTAATTTGGCATCATGTTGAAGCATGGAAAGGTACAGAATAAAAAGAAAAGGCTATAGAGTCCAAAATAATTTTTTCTTAAATCTATTCTTTCTTTAGAAATCTCTGAGAAATTTGTTTTTTCCTTTCTTACATTTTTTTCTACCATCACTAGTGCAAAATGGTATCCAAGGTTCTTATTATGAGATTTATTAAAATGTTTCTCATCTTCATCGCTTATTACCATTGGATATACAGGGTTAAACCAGGCAAGGAATTTTTATTTCATATAATTAGGTTTTATATTTAAAGTCATTGGGAATAGTGAGAACAATTTATGGATATCTTATATTGTAATAGATTCATTTATTTCTATGTGTGTTACGAAATTCACTTACTAATGACGAATTTTCAACATACAGTACTTTCCACTAGAAAACAAAGTATACATAAATACCGTATCATATTAGCCACCAAAATTTGTATAGACATTATCTTGGTTTCTTGGCAGTGACTGTAATGAATTCTTATCTAGTGATTCAGTCCAGCCAATACAGAGGGATTTTACTGGGAATTTAATCAAACACCTGTAGTATGAAGTAAGAGTAAAGACTTAATATTTTGAGTGCATTACTACTCACATAAGTGAAGAAATCCATCAGATGGGGATCTGAATATTTATATTGATATTGTGAAAGCATCCTTATTTTAAGGTTTTTAAGAAGACTGCTGAGATTAGGCGCTTTGCTTCCTTTCATTAAATAGCTTTTAACAAAATCAAGAAACATAGTAATTACTAAATTATGAAGCTTTGCTTTTTGTTTGCTTCAGTAGAAAAACATGTTAGCAATATTGAGTTTGGGAGCTAATTGAGCTACATCTAACTTCACTAGATTGGTCATTCAATTTGTTGAAGGTACAGTCACTAAGAAGTTTTTACTTTATTGAAAGATCCCAGTGGAAGCCTTGCTGTTTATTTTCATTCTGTGATGTTGGATATATATGAATTATTTAGTAAAGAATCCCAATAAATTTTGTGCTATGGCCTTTGCTGTTTGCTGGTTCAGATTTCTGTTCTCAAGCATATTGAAGATCAAGATGTATTGTCTTTAACATGTGGGTCTTCACATAGCAAAAGCAGAGTTCAGGATCCAGGAGAATTTTCTGCTCTGTATATTATGTTTGTGTGTCTTAGAGTTAAGCAGAAAGCGTGACTTGATCCCATTCCTTCAAGAAGTAATCTGAATTGAGGCACAAGTAGCCTATTTCATTACCAGCCTGCAGCATCAACTCTTCATCTTTTTGAGAGGGAAATTGGCAGTAGGCAGTGTGTCTCAGGATGTGGGGTTTTTGTCTTTGTCCATGTAACTTAAGTGGTTGCCTGACTTTCCAGTGGTCCCTGGAGATAATAGTGGCTGAAAGTATTGGCCGGACTAGGTCAGCATCTTTTCCCTGGAAGTTTGGCCCTTCATTTTCAAACACATATTAATTGCACAAGCCATAGTGCTACAAACACATTCTCTGCCTTCCAAGAGTTTTCTATCTATTGGGCTATTGGAAAAGTCATGACGCATTTTTGCAACAAAAAACATGGAAAAAGTACCTCATGACTTTTCCGACAACCCAATAAAACTAATACTCTGATACGGGTAGACCTTCAGATGTCTTCTGTTGACTAACTTCAGTCATTCTTATATAGCCTATTGCACTTCTCCCTAGCCTACCTGCATACTTCAGCAAAATTAAGCACTCCTTCATTCTAAGCATTGTGGGGTTTTTTTAAAGATTTTTATTGGGGAATTGGGGGAAGGGGAACAGGCAAGTTGCTGTCCTTTTGTTCTTCAGTCTAGTTGTGGAGGACGTTGCTTCACCGGCCCAAGTTGGCACCATCATTGCGCTCTTCCCGGGTGAGGCAGATCAGTCGCCGACTTCAGGACGGCCACTCACTGCGGCTGCTGGCTGCTCACTCTGGCTGCTGGCTACACACGGTAGCCCATGGCAACCCACTGCCACAGGGGCTGCAGCCTAGCCTTCCCCTCATGGCAGCCCAGCTCCAGGTTGAGCTGTTGTTCAGCATCTTAGCTGTGGAGGGCAGTGTCACTGGCCCTCATATGTGGGATCCAAACTGGGG